CCCCCACAGTTTCTCCTTCAAACTTCCTCCCACCTCCACCCATACACAAGAAAGATGAAATGTCAGATAGCAGCATTGGCCTGCCTGATCGTTTCTGGTGAGTAGGGAAATGTCTTATCCATCCCTGAAATTGACTTATGATGGGGGGGACTGGAGAGTCCCCATCCTTGCTCATTGCAAATCAGGTGCCTCAGACACCTCAGAACTAGGAAAGAGGTGATAGGCTACAACTGTAAATTTCCACCTTTAAATCTTCCAAGACTTCTTCAAAATGCTTTAATTTGTCCTCTTGTAGACTTTGAAGACACCTTATAGTCACAACTACAATATCCTGCAGAATTCTCTTCCCAGGGAAAGGAGAGGGGAGGTTAACAGCCCTAGAGCAGGGAGTCACAACCATCATTCTCAGGAAAGATGAAAAGACATTTCCCTTATAATTCAGAGCCCCATTCACAAGAGAAGGGGTCACTCATACAGATAGGGACCCAATCCCCAGAAGATAGGGTTCCTCTCAAAGCATCAGGTCAGGTCACCCTACAGTTCTGCACTGTGTTTTCAAGCAACTGTCATTTCCACAATTATGGACTTCATACCCAAGAGAAAGGGTATATTCTCCATCTACTGCCCAGTGATTCTTTCCCCAATGTCTGTCATTTGCAGCGTTTTACTTCCTCCTTGCTCCTCTTTTGCAGAACTCTCAATTTGGTGTTCTACTGCCCAGCCTCAGGATGAGGGTCTATTACTAACTGGAACACCACTCTCAGAGCTAGAGTACGATCAGTTCTTCAAACCTCTTCGTGCCCCTCACCGAGCCAGTGCTATCTGCCTCATTCGGGCCTTGTATGGCTGCCAGAACCCCTTGATCCAAAGACTGGACCAATACGAAAACCATGGAGTCATCCCACAAGGTAAGGCTGACCACAGCTTCCAAAAGCAGGACTAAGATCTTATCTTAGACCATCTGGCATTGGGAAGGATGAATGATAGATGATGGAAAGGAGTCTTTAAGTGCCTGAGTTTATAACAGGGAAAAAGGAAAAGAGGAAAAAGCCAGCTGCTGCTGAGGTTTATTTGTTTTCTCTCCTTCTCTCCCCCCCGGAATAACTAGGGGAGAGTTTTGTTTTGGTAGCTCCCATTCCTGGCCAATGGGACCTGTGGGAAGCAATGTTCAAGTGCACACTGCTTCGCACAGCTCCCATTAATCAAGAACAGCGATCCACGGCCAATGGGAGCTGCAATCGCCTATAACTGCAAAGGTGCAGGTAAACAAAGCATCTTGCAGCCAGTTAGCAGCTTGTCCTTATAAACTGTGACCCAGAGTTTGAAAATCCCTGCCACAGAGAGTCAAAGTAAATGTATATGCCAAATCACAATAAATACATAAATAAATGAATTAATAAATAGACCCACGTAGGGCCCTATGATCTTTTTATTATTGTAGATTTTTTATTTACTATTTTCTGATTTTTTCCATTGTTTTAAAAATTCCATCTTTATTTTTTAATCAAAATTGTGCGATTGATTAACAATTAAGTAGCCTTACTATAAATGCATAAAAATGTTCAGGATTGGATTGCAATGGAGGTAAAACCCCTGATTTTATATATACACACACACACACACACACACACACAAAATCCTACAGTTAACCCATCTTGCAGGTACCCAATATATGGTCAAAGTAACACATTTTAAATCACTTTTTAAAGTAGAACTCTTTGAGCAAACTGACACTGCTGAACAAGAACATGTTCCCAGATCGGAGATGCACACCGCTGCATGGAAAGGACTCTTGTCTGGGAGCATGCAAGCTACCTGCACACACGAGTATGACCAAGGACAGCTGTGCATGAACCTGGTGCCTGCCCCATGGGTGGGGATGGCAGTGGTACAGCCACACTGGTGGAACAGTCCATGCAGGGCATAGGCTCCTGTGAATGGCAGCCCAACATCCTGCTGTTTGCAGCACTGCAATACCCAATACAGCCCTGCAAGTCCAAATTTTGTATCCCCACAGGAATCCACCAAAAAGAATTTGAAGAGAATTAGCAAAAGACAAAAAACTAAAAAGGACATTTTAAGTTAATCAGATTCCGTGGAATTCATTGCCATGGGATGTTGTAAAGGCAAAAAGTAAAATGGAGTTCAGAAAATAATCTGATAAATTCATGGAGGTTCAATGGCTATTAGCCAAGATGGTCACAGATACAACTCTATGCTTTGGATGTCCCTAACATTCTGAGTGCCAGATGCTCAAACCAGATCACAGGTGATGGACCATTTGATAACCCCATTCTGCTCATTCCTTTTGAAGCATCTCGTACTGGCCATTGTTGGAAGACAGGATACTGAGTTAGCTGGGCTATTGGTCTGACCCTGTATGGCTGTTCTTATGTTGTTACAATCCAATGTTGTTTTGTTCATTTTTAATCACTGCGGGTCATAAACTGTTGGGTTTTTAACCACCCAGACTTTGGGAGGTGACTGGATAGCACTGAGGTTGGTCATTGTCAGATGGTGACCACCTGGCACTGTGGTTTATAATTGAGGGTTACGGGAAGTGAATTGTTCAACATGGGAGTTTTTCAATAAATTTGACTAATTATTGTCTCTCTAGGGCCTGTATGCTCAAACCTCCCAGAAATTCTCTTCTTTGCAGACTTTTGTACATTCACCTTTTATCGCTGTACTATGAAAAAGTATTTTGTTAAGGTGAGTCTGAACTGTTTCCAGATGAAATTGGTACTGAGGAATGTATTGGAAAGTGCAGACACAGGCAACAGCTGGAAGCACTCACAGGGAGTAGAAAATGGAGGATGGGGCAGATGAGAAGAAAGATAAGGAATTGTGGGAAGAACAGAACATGAAGCAGAAACTGAGATGTGTCTGTTGGGATATTAAATATTAGTTAATTGAATAGTCGATTAATCTCATGAATTCTTAACAGTTACTTGACTATCCGATAGTCATTGGGGGTGAGGCCAGCAGCCAGTGCACTCCAGCCCCACTCCCGAGGAGTCCCCTACCACTCCATGATTCTGCCTCTGTATCAGAGGCAGCTGTGTGGGGTGCCAGGCAGAAGTTGATCCATGAGGGGAGACAGTTTAAAAACCAGCTTCCCTTACTGACCAGCTGTCTGTTGCCCCCTACTGCTGCCTCAGATACAGAGGTATCAGCGCAGGGTGGCAGCAGCCCCTGCCCAGACCTGGTAAGAGCTGGAACTGAGCCGAGCTGTTTGCCTGCTTGGCTCCTAATACACATTAAATGCAGAGCTGCAGCTGGGATAGGTCCCGGACCAGGCGCGAGCCAAAACTGAGCCAGGCTGCTGGCCAGCCTGCTAAAACATTTACTGGCAGGAGGAGAGTGGGGGGAAATGTGTGTACACTATGGCATTAACCTATAAGCTTTTGCTTATCGGTTAATCGACTACACTATTACATCCCTAGTGTCTGTGCTGGCAAGTTTCTGCACAGTACAGCAGCTTTCTGTGCAGAAGTTCCCATGGCATGCACACTGCCAAGGCACTTAGGGCACAGTAACGGCACAGTTGCAGTGCACGTGAACACATCCATTACTTTGAGCACAGTAGCTAGCTTCCAGAAAAGTCCCATAATCCCTCAACTTGACACTCCGCTCACTATTTTGAAATCCATATAAAAAATGGAAAGAAGGACAAATTACAAAGGATGAATATAGGCAAACAACACAGGAATGCAGGGGCAAAATTAGAAAGGCAAAGGCACAAAATGAGCTCAAACTAGTAACAGGAATGAAGGGAAGCAAGAAGACTTTTTATAAATACATTAGAAGCAAGAGGAAGACTAAGGACAGGGTAGGCCCGCTGGTCAGAGAGGAGGGAGAAACAGCAACAGGAAACTTGGAAATGGCAGAGATGCTTAATGACTTCTTTGTTTCGGTCTTCATCGAGAAGTCTGAAGGAATGCCTAACATAGTGAATGCTAGTGGGACGGGGGTAGGTTTAGAAGATAAAATAAAAAAAGAACAAGTTAAAAATCACCTAGAAAAGTTAGATGCCTGCAAGTCACCAGGGCCTGATGAAATACATCCTAGAATACTCAAGGAGCTGATAGAAGAGGTATCTGAGCCTCTAGCTATCATCTTTGGAAAACCATGGGAGACAGGAGAGATTCCAGAAGACTGGAAAAAGGCAAACATAGTGCCCATTTATAAAAAGGGTAATAAGAACAACCCAGGAAACTACAGACCAGTTAGTTTAACTTCTGTGCCAGGGAAGATAATGGAGCAGGTAATTAAGGAAATCATCTGTAAACACTTGGAAGGTGGCAAGGTGATAGGGAACAGCCAGTATGGATTTGTAAAGAACAAATCATGTCAAACCAATTTGATAGCTTTCTTTGATAGGATAACTAGTCTTGTGGATAAGAGAGAAGCGGTGGATATGGTATACCTAGACTTTAGTAAGGCGTTTGATACGGTCTCGCATGATATTCTTATCAATAAACTAGGCAAATACAAATTAGATGGGGCTACTATAAGGTGGGTGCATAACTGGCTGGATAACCTTACTCAGAGGCTACGTCTACACTGGCCCCTTTTCCGGAAGGGGCATGTAAATTTCACGAGTCATCGTAGGGAAATCCGCGGGGGATTTAAATATCCCCCGCGGCATTTAAATAAAAATGTCCGCCGCGAAAAGGGCACTTTTTCCGGAGGATCGGGGCCAGTCTAGACGCTCTTTTCCGGCTTTTTTAAAAGCCGGAAAAAAGCGGCGGACATTTTTATTTAAATGCCGCGGGGGATATTTAAATCCCCCGCGGATTTCCCTATGACGACTCGTGAAATTTACATGCCCCTTCCGGAAAAGGGGCCAGTGTAGACGTAGCCAGAGAGTAGTTATTAATGGTTCACAATCCTGCTGGAAAGGGATAACAAGTGGGTTCCGCAGGGGTCTGTTTTGGGACCAGCTCTCTTCAATATCTTCATCAACGATTTAGATATTGGCATAGAAAGTACGCTTATTAAGTTTGCAGATGATACCAAGCTGGGAGGGGTTGCGACTAATCTGGAGGATAGGGTCATAATTCAAAATGATCTCGACAAATTGGAGAAATGGTCTGAGGTAAACAGGATGAAGTTTAATAAAGACAAATGCAAAGTGCTCCATTTAGGAAGGAACAATAAGTTTCACACATACAGACTGAGACTGTCTAGGAAGGAGTACGGCAGAAAGGGATCCAGCGGTTATAGGGGACCACAAGCTGAATACGAGTCAGCAGTGTGAACTGTTGCAAAAAAAGCAAACATGATTCTGGGATGCATTAACAGGTGTGTTGTGAGCAAGACATGAGAAGTCATTCTTCCGCTCTACTCTGCGCTAGTTAGGCCTCAGTTGGAGTATTGTGTCCAGTTCTGGGCACTGCATTTCAAAAAGGATGTGGAGAAATTGGAGAGGGTCCAGAGAAGAGCAACAAGAATGATTAAAGGTCTAGAGAACATGACCTATGAAGGAAGGCTGAAAGAATCGGGTTTGTTTAGTTTAGAAAAGAGAAGATTGAGGGGGGACATGATAGCCATTTTCAGGTATCTAAAAGGGTGTCATAAGGAGGGAGAAAACTTGTTCATCTTAGCCTCTGAGGATAGATCAAGAAGCAATGGGCTTAAACTGCAGCAAGGGAGGTTTAGGTTGGACATTAGGAAAAAGTTCCTAACCGTCAGGGTAGTCAAACACTGGAATAAATTGCCCAAGGAGGTTGTGGAATCCCCATCTCTGGAGATATTTAAGAGTAGGTTAGATATATGTCTATCAGGGATGGTCTAGACAGTATTTGGTCCTGCCATGAGGGCAGGGGACTGGACTCGATGACCTCTCGAGGTCCCTTTCCGTCCTAGTATTCTATGATTCTATGAAATTGGCTGGCAGCTCTGAAGGCATGCGCCTTTCCCCTTTCAAAGTTCTCTTGGTAGTGCTGTGCTGTTGTGCTCCAGAACATAAAGCAAACCATCAATGTGCACTGGCAGGCAGGCAGGTGTACGGACATGCATGGGAGAGAGAGCACATCATGCAGAGAGCCAGGTGGCGGCTGTTGTCGGAGTTTTCCCCTTCCTCTTG